AACCAGCCCACTTCCCCGCTTTGTGTGTTTATCAGGGCTACAACAGATCTCTCCTTGCTGCAGTGGGTTGTTTCCAGCCTCGGCTCCCCCTGGGATGTCACAAACCAAAGAACTCGTGGGGACAGTGAGACCAGCCCCCGGAGGGGTCAGGTCGGAAAGAGCCCCCGTACACGATACTTAGCCACCACGCTGTTGAAAAGGAGAAAGCAAAAAGCTTTCATGTTGTTCTATATATACGCGCTTCTATCTATAGGGCCGGGTGTGCGCTGATTCCCGGGGAGACGTTCTCCCTGCCTGCCCTCGGGGCGCTTATCGCGGCGGCAGCGGGACACATGCGGCTTTATCGCCCGGGCAGGCTCAGCGCAGCCGAGTGGCATTTTCCTTTCATGCCGAAAGCGACACCGAACGCGGGGCTGAGCGCTCCGCGGCCCCGCGGCGCAGCCCGCGGCCCCGGCCGGCAGCCTCTCGGAGCGGCAGATAAGTTGGATGCGCCGGGCAGCTCTGATGTGGCAGCAGAAGACAAAGGTCAGATGCGATACCATCTGCTCGGGCTCACGTTGCGGGGGTAAAAATAACAGGAAGCCCAAGGGGAAGGAGGGGACCGTGGCGGTCCATGTCACGCAGAAACGTCCCAGCACCCCAGGGAGATGGATCTGCCAGGTCTGCTTTCCTCAGTTCCCCCCAAATCAGTTTTAATGATTTGCCTGCCTGCAGAAGCCAAACGATTCACGCAGTTGGGTCCCGACACGACACCCGCGATGGACGGACACGCAGCAGCTGCCCCGCTGCGCAGCGGGACCCGCAGGGCCCGGCGCTGCTGCGCGGGCACCACGAGCTGCAGCGCGCACGGAGCAAACAGGGAGGGGAGGTGCCCAGGATGTCCCTGGCCCCAAAAAAGAAAACAGGAAAGTCCGTCCTAATGTGTCTTCGCGGAGAAGGAAAAGCACGTGAACAGGTAAAATGTGTATAAGCAAGTGTCTGGATCTGTTTCTCCTTTTTAAATTCTAATTTCACACAGGTTGTGTCACTGTTAAATTCAGCAGAGATTGCACTATAAAGCGTGTGAAGGGCCAGCACCCAAACTGAATCAAGTTCATAAAGATTCCCAGCCCCTTCCACAGACTTGCTTCACACAGGAGCCCATCAGGCCTGCGGGGCGCCCCTGCAGCGCCCGCGTGGATCAGAGCGCTTCTCTGCGGAGCTTTGCCCAAAGCCTTCCATGGGGCATTGCTGCAAGAACACCAAGACTTCAGCCCGGGGGGATTGTTGCCTTGTTGCACAGAGCAGCCCAGCCCCTCTCTATTCTGCTATGTATAGCTTACCAGGTAATAATAAGATCTAGCTTATTCAGTGCAACAGCCTTGGCCCAACCAAGTAAAGAGCCAGCTGCAGGGACAAGCACCTGCGTTAAGCCCTTACATCCAGGGGCTCTTGTATCACTTTACAGCTACATAAAGCAGTTGTGTGGACTCATGTATTTACATCACTGAACTCCACCGTCGTATAGTGGGAAGAGGGGAGCAGAAGGAGCAATATCCAGTTAGGGAAGTCCTCATTGCAATTTGTTTTGGAGAGGCATTAGTGCTTTCAATGTCATTTTTCCTCTTCTAAGTTTTGAGCAATGCAGTACACAGAAAAGCAATATAAGAGGTCAGGCTCCACCACCAGGCAATGTTTTAGGTTATGTTAGCCTACTTATATGCTTATAGATCAGCAATGCATACCACAGCCATCAAATCTTGAAGAAAAACAAACAAAAAAAACATAACACACACACACATTCAGCAACTGAAAGGCATTATTCCATAATAAACTGACACTAAAATTCCCATGCTTGAGAAATGCTACGTGTTATCATGAATCTATTCATTTTTCAGCAGCTATCCCAAAGAAAAATCTACTTCAGTCCTTCAGCAACAGAAGGGGATCAGGCAGGCGCTGGACAACACTTGTACCTGCGGGCTCAGGACCTGCCCACGCTGTGGCTGTCACGGCGGTGAGGCAGCTCTGCGGTGCCTTTGGCTGGGGTACGAAGCACGTGCTGCTTTTCAGGGAAGCGTGATCTCACCTTTGAGGGCCAGAAACGAAGCAAACAGGCACACACCTTGCAAAGGGCTTGCTGCACAATACAGCGGCATAGAACCGCAGAGACACAACGTCTCGTTAAAACACTTGTGCAAGACTCCTAATCTTGTGAGAGGGCACCATTGAAAATACTGAGGCAAGGCAAAACGTTCAGCCAACCTCCCCAGAGAGCCCTCAGGCCCGCGGACGGGCCGCACGTGCCCCCGGCTATTCTGAGCCCCAGCCGTCCCCGCCTGGCTCACGCGGGACCACGTGGCTGGTGGCAGCAGCCGCGCGCGCTCGGCGGAGGCATTTTTAGAAGCTCCCGAGCTATGAATTCACCCTCCCGTTTTGGTAAAGCCAGTTATGCGGAAAGCCTTTCCAAAGGGGAAATGGAAATAGGCGCTTAACTTCCCCTCAATTCTTAGAAAGAAGAAAGGAAGGAAAAAAAGAAAAAAAAAAAAAAGAAAGAAAGAAAAGGAAAAAAAGAATTTTTTTACACATTTTTCCTACAGAGAATTCTCCTGTAATATTTCCATACCTGTCAAAAACTATAACAAATGCTAAATAACTACAAATCAAGTAAAATATGTCTCTTCCACCCAATTACACTTGAATGTTAAGACCACTTCCACTTTTTTTCCTTCCGCAACCACCACAAAGCGACCCCGCTTGAGAGCGCAGCGACCCTCCTCAGGCACAGCCCGGCACTCGATACATCTCCACAGCTCCTTCTTTTTTACACTAGGGCTCCCTAAACACCTCCTGCCTCGCCTCAGTGCTCAAGCCCAGGCACACAGCAGGTGAGGCCACCATCTTGTCTCCTCTGGTAGCACTTGCTGCTCCTGTCAGAACAGACCCAGAGGGTGCAGGGATTTGGACAACACTTCCAAAACGTCTCTGAGGTGCCAGTTTCTACTTTTCACCTCATGAAACTCAAGAGTCCTGCGAGATGCTGAGATACACCATCCTACAGGGTTCAAATGCCACCTTTACCCTCAGAGCGGATCACCAGAGCCACCAGGTTGCCCAGGCAGCAGCAACCTCCCAAAAGGTGGAAAACACAACAAATAACCCCAGTATCAAACATGAAAAAACAAATACAACCTCCTCCACACCAAACTGTTCTTATTATTGGAAAGATTAGACACAAGCACCTACCTTTGAGACAGGAACCACAGGCAACAGTCGAGCTACCTCCTTCACCTTCCCCAGCTGCAGCACATGCCTGGCCACAGCCCCACCAAATCCCCTGCCTTTCTCCCCAAAAGCAACCAGCTAGTGCTACCCCCTCTCTGCTCATTTGTGTTGGGGCCTGGTGGTGAATTCACAGCACCTGTGGCAGGAGCAGCTCTAGGACCAAAGGACATGCTGGGGTGGGGGGAAGGTTCCTGCTCTTCCTCTCTCCCAGAAGGTTGTTCTCAGCTTTTATTTTTTTTTTAATTATTTCCCCTACCTCTAAGGACTGTAAATTTAAAGTCAGTTCATGCTGAAGCTTGGTCACAGAAGATTTTTTTTTTTCTAATTAAGTCCTGACATGACAGAAAATTTGGTCCTTAAAGGTCCTTGACAGCTGCTTTTTGTTCTTGGAGTTTCCAGACGGTCAAGGTCTGAAAGCTAAAATTTCAGTAACAGGATGAGAATAGCACAAAAAAACAAGATATGCAGCAAAGGGCTTTTTTTTTTTCCCTCCCAATTGCTACATGGTAATCCCCATTCAAAAAGACCATTCCTTTCAAGCAAAATTCACTGAAATTCCCACCATGGTGAGAAGGCTACTTCTGTTTTCAGGGGTTGTCCATATTCTGAATGGAGCACGTAGCAGAGAGAGTGCAAGTGAAACTTCCTGCAGGTGGTTGCCCTGCATCGCTGCTTCCAGCATCGCCCTATCATCCGCCCAGTGTTCCAGCATCTCGGGGATTAGTGGAGACCTATTTTTAAACTGCATCCTCGCGAGGGAGGAAATACTGAAGCCGTTCATGTTTGACCACCTGCAGGTTCTGCCGTTCAAAAAAACAAGCCGGTTTTCCTCAAAACTAGATGAATAAATAAAACAAGGATGCTATGGCTGGCCCAGGAACAGGACTCCGCAAGGAATTGTTACTGACTGCCCTCAAGTTGCATGAAGCAGCACTGCATTGCTGTTTTAGAAATCTGCTGCACAGCGATTGGTTTGAAATGTGTTTATATGCTAAAAAAGTCTTGGTGTTCTAAATATTATTTGTATTTACAACCTTCCCAGATGGAGGCAGAGCAGGCCACACATCTGATTGCTGCGCTGTGTTTTACACGCCTGTGCGTTCCGGCTGGGCAGCCACAGCGATCGTGCCAGGGCTCAGAGACAGGCAGAGATTTCCAGAGCTTCCTTGGGAAACAGGGCACAGCGGAGACGGCTCCAGGGAGGGCAGGAGCCAGCCCATATGTAGACCCTTTAGGGAGCCCAACACTGAATCGGTGCAGCCCTCACTCACAGGGTACAACTCCTGCCTTGCTGGTAGTCTGCTCATGGCAAAACTGCTCCTGAAGCGAGTATTGTGGAGCAGGGTTTCTGTTAACGTGTTGACTCTCAGTAGCATCTTTTCTTAGGGAGAAAAAATCCTGTAATATTCAACAATGAAACAGGCACGTTCTCGCTTTATTTCAATTTCCGTGTAATTCTATGTGCGAGGAGTCGCTGAGGAAGGATGCACTCAAATGCCACAAATAAATGATAGAGAAAAAGCCACATCCATTCTCTGTAATCTGGGTATTTCTGGATTCCCAGAGCAAGAAAAAGCTCATGACACGTTTGCACTGCTGCCCTCTGCGGGACACGGGGGCTGTGCTGGAAGCCTTCCTAGCCTCTTCCTGCTACGCCAGGAGGAAGGGGCAGATGCTCTTCAGGCAAACGATTCCATTTTTGGAGCTAGATGAAAAATTCCAACTTTATTGTTTAGGTGCACAGTTACCTGCACAGCTGGCAAAATGGCAAATTGTGGCTATAGACAAGATGGGAAAGGAATACTACAAGGATGAGCTAATCCACCAGAGGCAGCGTCATCGCTCCTCTCCAGATATATCAGTGGGAACCTAGACTTGCCCTCCAATTCCTCATGAATTTAAATATTGTTGTTTACTTGATGAAATATTTCTTTGGATCTGTTGCAGAATGCCTTTAAAAAATTACTTCTCATTACTATTTAAGAATATTTCTAATCCTCCTGTCAGAATTTCATCAACAGAACCAGTTAACTTGGATGTCAACCAGTCAACTTCCTTCCTCGGAGGAGGCAACATCAGTTTTAAGAACACTGCAGTCCATTTTTGCTACATGCAAGGTGCTAAATGAGTGTGGCACGTTACCATTCAGGTTATTAAAGCAATACAGGCACTCATCACTTCAGCACAAGAGGCTGACAAAGCAATCACTGCAGAAGATTTTATTAACTGCAAGAGCATCTGTATAAATAAGATTTCAAGCATGCAACTTGTCAGTATTCTGCAAATATGAAGGATTAAGTGGAATTTTTAAAAATGGCAAAAAGACTAAGGATTTTAGGAGATCAATAATGTAATTTTCATAAATATATTGCATGAATTAATAGTGGCAGATGAGGTTTCCATTTTATCTTTGGTCAGAGCCCTTCAAGGCCAGGCACAAGCAGAGCAGGCTACAGCATGCTACAATCTCAGAAAAACCATTTCATAGCACCTGCTGCTACAAGTGTTTAACAGAACTTAGAGAAGTTATTCAGGCTCTGTCAGCCCACTGTATTTTTTTTAAACAAAACTGAGTTTATGTTGATACAATAAATAGTTTATTAGTGGAATGCACATGAGTTTGTCTCCTGTCCTTCCTTTAGTTCTCAGCACCTTCCAGTTAAACACAGATGTCTCTGCAACTTCCAGCCCAAGCCAAAGGCGAAATTGCTTTGCAAACGGGAAGAAAGGGAGAAGTTTAAGACTGGCACCCCCGAGTGCCGGGTTCATCAGGTGTGTGTCCAGTTCCCCAAGCCTGCAGCAGACGAGTGTTTCTTCTTTTCACATCTTGATTTAACTCTTCCTCCCTGATTTGTGTTCATTTAAGTTCTTCTAAGGCAGGTCCCACACTCCATTGAGTCAGTATAAAGTCGTGCCTGCTCTAATGCTGTTCCAGCTATTGCCATGTCCCTTTTACTGTAAGCCTTACCATTATTACACCATCCCTGATATTTCAGACCAGTTCAGTAAGAGCTTGGACTCTTACAAAAATGGAAAGAGTCTTTTCTTCAAAATATAGAGCACGGTGGCCAGGAATAAGGCAAGGGCGAGAAAGATGAGAAGCTTGTCTGTCAGTTCCCTGCGGTTGTACTTTGTTATTAGCTTTCTTCCCAACTGAATTGTCCCAGACATGGACTTAAATTCTTCGTTTGCTTCCAGGATGGTTCGTGAAGAATTGGCTGAAATGAGGGAAAAAGAAATACTTCAAAAATACCTGACAAATGAAATAAGCACACAGTATTTGTCGATGCAGATAGTGCCAGTGAGATCCTAACGAGTCAGGCTAACTTATGGGCAAGACAAATGTAGACCAAACTCTGGCAGAATCTTTCACCACTCACTAGTCCTGATATGCCACAAAAGAAAATGTAAAGCAAATTAAAAGCACCGAACGGGTTAAAGTTCCCACGTCCTGTTCCCAAATCTTTATTTTTTTAGCTTGTTTGATCAAACCTGGTTCACGTCTTTTATGAAGTCAGGCTTACCTAGGAGCTCTGTAGAAGCCGAGTGAAGTAAGACCAGAGCTAGAGCCACCAGTGTAAGAGATCAGCCTGGTTTTAGCAGCAGCAAGGCAGGTCAGTACCTGAACACAACTGAAACGCTCACCCCAAGCCAAAATTCTAAATTAGTGTGACCTGGGGGCTTTACAAAGCTTGAAAAGGCAGCAAGCAGTACTATTAGTCCCTTAACTGTCAGGTTTAAGGCTTTTTTTTTTTTCTTGCCGTTAACATTTTTGACAAGCACAACTCATAGTTCTTCTGATTCTTCCAAGTGAACAAGATTAAATCAACTAGTGGAAAAATGTATTAACCGGTGTCAGCTAAAGAGAGAATTTGAGAATATGCCAAAAAGTAGCATGGAAGATGGATCCCTGCCAACTTTGTTTTCTAAAAAATAAAACCAACACCCAGCAACCCCTGCCTTCCCTCTTTCAAATTATTAAATGACAAAAAGCAAAAACGCCAGGAATACCCTTTGCCTTGCATTACAGAATGTACACGGCATATACAGAATGTATACTGAATGAGAGTGAATGCCGGCAAATCACCCTCTGTTGAACTGAATGACTAAAGAATGGTCAAACTCCAAGTAAGCTGTCTTGTTCACAAAGACAAGTAGAGTAGAAATACTTAGGTAAAGCTTTTTCAAACCATGACATCCCATTTTAAAGAGAGATTTTGAAATATTTAAATATTCTCCAAAATAAAACTCTTTTTCTTCTCCTTGTTAAAGTAGAGCTTTGCTGCTTCCCAGCTGTATGTATTCACTGCATCCTGAGAAAAGACTCCCTCTAAAAAAGGAGGATTTGAACTACTGACTTAGAAGCCACAGCTGGATTCTGTAAATGATTTTTGATAGTTCTTTCCTTGATAAGCTCCAAGTGCTGTTCAGCAAGAAACTCGGTGACAAAGTGACTGCCAAACTGTCATTTTTAATAGGAGAAGAAACATGTTGCTTCTCCATGAACAAACTGTGCCCAGCTGCCATCCTCAGAAGGTGGTGGGGGAGGAGGGTTGGGAAAAAAAAGGCGGGCAGGAGGGAGGAAACTTTCTTTATACCTTATGCTATTTTCTCTTCTACCCACAAGCACAGCTAGTAAGAGGCCCAAGCAACATCTAACTTCTAAATGGTTCATGAATCACCAATTTTGACAGGCCCCTTGATTTATTGTCCTAGGAGTCTAAGCTAAAGCACAGGGCAGAATCTGGACTGCCAGTCCCTGATGCCCTGCTGACAGAGCAAGTGACCTTAGGCTCAAGTCACTTGATCCTCACAACTCAGTCACCCCAGCTGCAGACTGGGTGAAGACAGTCTTCCACGCATACTAAGTTTCCTCCATGCGCAGACTTGTACTTAGGCTTTTATTGTCTTTTCTACTGCCACATGCCTGCCAGGACAAGAACAAAGAGCAAGTGCACTCTTTAAACTGCATAAAGTCACTCTGCTTTTACACTTTTATGTGGAACTAAAACTAGGGCTGTTCTTCCTGTCCCCTCTTGTTTACTTGAGGGCCGAGAAAACACTCCATGAAACAGAAAGACAGTCCAGCAAACACTTCTAGGCAATATGCCATTGTTATTTTATGTTTCTCTCCAAGTGTTAGAGGAGTTCTGCAGGACACTTTTTTAATCATCATCCTATTAAGTCTGGAATTAACAATACAACTTTTCATTGTGCTCTACACCTTGGCAATGTGTCTCTGCCCATCCTAACAGAACCAGCGATAGCCAATTCCATGATTCAATCCATAACCAAACACCCAAATTACACCTGTACCTAGGGTCTGCACAGTCTCCTCGCTCTGCTGGACTTGCTGGGACATCATCCTGCTAATGCCCATCAGACTCTCTGTGATGTTGCTTGCACTCTCTGCCAGACTCTCCTTTGTAGTCTTTCTGAAAGAGGAAGGGAAAAATAAAGGAGGAAATAATAAAATTATGTCTCTGGGTATTGCAGAAAAGTGCTGCTGACAGGGAGCTAAGAATACAGCTTGACAGAACACATCCCCACCAACACACAAAAGACAGAACTGGGTTTTACTACTGCATGAGAAACTAAGATTAAGGTATGTATTTATTATTGTCACTAAGCACTAAAATGTTAAAGTCATGACCCAAAAGAACCGTTAGGCAGTGACTGAGAGTCTCATGGACTCATATTTCACTAGTTCTTAATCCTTCACTATACTGCTTCATAAAGTGGCACAAAAGCCTCGAGACCACTTTTGTTTTCTTGGACTTCTGCTGCTTCAAATAAGCCAACTTCTTGATATGCAAGCTTTATAAACTTAATCCAGCTCTGCATGTGAAAACAGGCTGAAAAAAGATCTCTTACATTAAATCCAAAGAGACAGATAAACAAGTAAAAAGCTGTCGGAAATAACTTTAAGGCTATCTTTACTTTTGTGCATAAATGGGTCAACACCAAAAAAACCCTACATTTATTACAATCCTTAACACTTTAAAATCTACAAAAAAAATTCAAACACACTCAAAAAAATCTGTCCAAATACAATCAGATAACTTTAAACTAACACTTTTTTTTTCTTAGAATTAGCGAATACCACTTCTATTATTTAAATCTGTTATAAAGGGGAGAGGTTTCATACCTTTGTCTCAGGGTGTCTCTTCCCTGCAGCAGCTGATCCTTCTCAGAGTTGTCAATAGCAATTTTGCACGCTAGATTTGCCTTTCTCCAAGCTGCCTGGTTGCTGAAATCATAAGAGCACGATGTGGTAGGCAAAGTTTTGCAAGCTAAAACAAGTTTTTTCACAGAGGAACTACCATAACTGAAAACCCTGCGTACATACATGAACCATATATCACACATATTTTATGCAATGTATATGCAACGCATACGTTATGTATATTTTACGCAATGACAGAACAAAAGATACTGTGCGAGTTAACAACAAATGGGCTCTCAAGCCAATGCTTTAGATGCCTGCACTGCTGCCAGGGAATCCAACCCAACAGACCATGACTAGGGTCACGGGCAGGGGAGAAGGAAGGAGAACAAAGTACCACTCTTTCTGTCACTCGGTCGCTCTCATGATCCTGGGCAGAAGGGCTTTGTGCCAGTGACCACGGCTGCAAAACAGCATCCGAAAGAGCCCAGGGCCTCTACACTTACTTCCCTGAGAAGGGCCCCGTACGCAGCACCTGCTGCCCGACACACCTGAGCATTTGCTTTTTATGGTTTTCCACCTCCTGCAGCAAGGCTTGCTTCTCTGATTCTTTATCTTGCTCCTTTGCCATCTGCTCAAGCTCCTTGGAGGGAAAACAGAAACATGGAAACTCGATCAACCGCTGTCACCACCTGCGAGTCACTCCCGTCCCCTCCTCGGTGCGGGAAGGAACCATGACAAAATTAGCACTGCCATGGCCTTGCCTGAAACCGGGGCTCCCTCAACTCCTGCGGCTCTCCCCCAGGGGCGACAAACGCCCCCCGAACAGCTCGCGGTGCCTCGTGCGCGGCTGAGGGGCGGCAGGGAGCGGGGAAGGGCCGGGGGAGCCTCACCTGGAGGCGGCCGCGGAGCTGCTGGAACTTCTCCTTCACGGCGGCGTTGAGCTCCGTGAGGGCGCTCAGCGGTCCCGGGCAGTCCCGGATGTCCTGCAAGGCAAGGGGGCGGTCAGCAGGGCCCGGCGGGGAGCGCAGGGCAGCGG